CCATCTTCCCCACGACCCGTCCCCACCAAGGGTCACCACTACTCTGGTATCTAAGAGGTTAGTTTTGCTGGTTTTTGAACTTTGTATCAGTGGAATCTTAGAGTATGTTTTGCTTTTGAACTTTGTATCAGTGGAATCTTAGAGTATGTCTTCTTTCATGTCTGGCTTCTTCCACTTCATATGTTTGTTAGGTTCACTTTTACTGTCACATGTAGGGTTGTTTCCTCTGGTTCTGCTGTATTCTACTCTGTGAATATACTGCATCACATTTTTTTCTGTTCTACTGAAGATAGCATTTGGGTAATTCCGGTTTTGGCCAGCCTGGTCATTTCTGAGCAGTGACTGTCATATCCAAGGCTGGCATTTCTCCACAGAAGGGTGAGCATCTTCTACCTTGCTTGCCCTGCCCTGGGATGCTGGCAGAGTCCTGCCAGATCTTGGAGGCCTGAATGCTCAGGGGCAGGGTGGGCGGATCTGGGCAGTGGGCAGCTTGGGCAGAGTTTGTCTCTGTATAGCTTCTTCCATGTTGTTGGCTTACCTGCACCTCAGAGCAGTGAGGGTTTCCCCCTGCTCACACTGCCCGGGGCCAGAGACGCTCAGGCCACGGGTTTAGAGCCTCAGGGGATGATGTGAATGAATCTGAGATAGGCAGACCTATAAAATTTTAAAAGATTGTGTTTTCATTTCAAAATCATCTAAAACAAATTAGGCATATTCTCAGTCATCTGAATCCAGCTACTTCTAATGAGGCAGTTTAAGGAAGTATACACAAAGGGGATGTGTTCCGGCATCAGACTGCCTGTGTGCAAATTCGCACTCCCCATCCCAGCTGTCTGACCCAGGACAGCACTCACGCTCTGTGCCTGAGGGCCCTGAGCTATAAAAGGGTGGCAGTAATCTTACTGTGGGGTCCCTGTGAGATCCGAATGAGATTATGCCTGCAGAGTACCTTACCAAGGGCTTAGTGAGCATCAGCCCTCGGTCACCGTTAGACTCGTGTTTATTATCTGGGTGGCCCCATGATTGTCAATGGCTCATGAGAGAACAACAGAGGCGGATTTAATAGCGAGGTGATGTGTTAGAGTTGAGTGAAGGCCAAATGATATCACAGCGTACTGAATAAATGAAGTTTTCACGGTAGTTTAAATAAAGAAAATCAGTGTAATAATTGAGTCATCACACCAGGCAGGCTGAATTCAAAGGGACGTGCCTGGGAGCAGTTGGTGCCGTGCTTGTGCTGTGAGCTGCAACGTCTGTTTCAGCAGAACCTCATCTATCCCTTTAAATCAGTGTTGTTAAGATGTTTTCATTGTTTTTGTCATTTTCTTTACATTTACATTGTACATTTGTTTGGCTTTTATGTGAAGGATATAAGTATGAGTTTGTCTAGTTTAAACATATTAGGTAACTTGTTTTGCAAAAATAATTTAAGTCAACACTACATCTTAAAAGGTGTCCCTGTGGTTTCAAACACTGCCCTGGGTCTTTCGCATTGGAATTCAGTTGGAGAGAAAGCAAATGCGTTTCCTCCTGGCACAGAGCCCTAGCTGTCCAGTTAGGGCAGGGTGGACCAGAGCCAAGAGGGCAGGCGCGACCTGGAGGCAAAGCCGCCTGGCTTCAGGATGGCAGATCCTCCACTTTCACCGCCTCCAGGGCCTTGCGTGTGGACTTTATTTTGTGATGCAGTTACCCCACAGTGTTACTGGTCTTGCTTTCTAGTATGTCTGCCCTTGCAGTCAGGATCTTTGAGACTGATGGCTCTGAGGGATAAAGTGTTCCATGTCACTCATGGAAGCTAGATGTCAGCAAGGGTGACGCTGCCCGGAGAGATCTGGGGGTTCCGTCCAGACTTCCCGTACCTCCCGTGCCAGCTCCTTTCTAGTACTTCCGTGCATTTCTGCGGAGCTTGTACTCACGGTCACCTCTGGCTCCCTGTCCCTGCTTGTGCAGGGAGCGTGTTTTCCCCTCTGCTGCTGCTTTTGTCCTCATTTTGGCTTCCATCCAAACTTAGAATTTATCCCTTTCTTTCATTTCCACCAAACCCCACAAGACTTTTGCTTGTACAGTAAATGTTACTGAAAGTTTAGGGACACTTTGTGGGAGCGGGTGAAGTGAAGGGAAGGAGAGGGTTTATTTTATAGCGACACGGAGGACTTGATATTACATGTCTGATGTCTCTGTTCTTCGAACTCTTACCATGTTACTTGAACATTGCCCCCCCCGCTCACCTTTCTCTTCCTTCCACTCCCAAATTTCTAATCCTTTTGAACAGAACTGTGCCTGTGTCTCTTTTTGAGCCTTGTCTTCAGAATCTTACCTTCCCTCCCCCATAGCTTGTCAAGAGTCTCCCTAACAGTTTCCGTTGCAAGATACATTCTGCTGTTAAGGAGTTAGATGATTGGGCTGGCCCCTGCACTTATAGAAGGTGTTCATTTTACATCCGTCTTGTCTGGGAAGAGAACAAATATTACCTCAGTGCTTACAAAGCACTTTCACCTACATGAACTCCTAGGTGAGATATCACGCCCATTTTACAGATGTGGAACCGGAAACTCAGAGAGGTTGAATGAATCATCTAAAGCCACGTAGCCAGATAAGTGGGGAAGTAGAAAGCTGTACCCAGCTCTGAAGGTTTAGAGCTGTGACCCGTGTTATCACACACAGACAGAATGCAATGCTCTCTGAACCTTCAGGCATCTGAGGCCACGTGGATTCTAGGGTAAATGATTAACATGTGACAACCCAGTTGGCCTGGGGAGGAGGGCAGCCCCAGCACCCCCGGCAGGTGTGTGCCTTCTGCAGGAGTTGGCCTGCCAGTTCCCACCCTATGCTTTCCCCTTCCTTCCCTCTTTTACTAACCAGCGCCTACTCATCTACATTTCAGGTCTAGGTGTAGGGCTGGCTACATAGTTTGTTGGACCCAGTACAAAATAAAATGTTGGGCCTCTTGTTCAAAAGCTATTAAGAATTTCCAAACAGCGACAGCAGAACATTAAGTCAAATACGGAACTCTGGTAAGCAACTGCACACGTGACATGCCCACAAAGCCAGCCGTGTATGGAGCTTCCACCCCCGGGAGGCGTCTTCTGGCTCCCGGCTCTGAGCAAGGTGCTTATCACATGCTGTCATCATTTCTTCTTTACGCTCCTGCTTCCCCATTAGCCTGTGAGCTTCCTGAGACCTGTGTCCTTTTCACTGCTGTTCCCTAGTGCCCAGCAGGAGCCCTGACAAAGAGCACAGGCTCAGTGGATGCCCCCCTGGGGCTTGGGGCTCCTGGAAGTCGGACCTGAAGGAACCAGGCAGTGAACAGTCATGTCCAAGCAAGACCCATCCAGGACTACACAGTTTCAGGCCAAGGATGACTGAGTGAGCCTGTGGGGCTTGGCAGGGGTTTTGGTGTGGGGTAGGGACTCATCCTTTTTTCAAAAGAGTGTGTTAATCATTTGCTGCCCAGGACCTCACAAACCCTGCTTCTCAGGGCCAAGTAAGCTGTGGCCAGCTGAGGAGGTAGGGCATAGGCAGGGGACAAGGGCAGAGAGCATGGAACTGACATCGAGCCCTTCCTGGGGCCACGCAACCTGGCCCACTGACCTTTCTTTAGCTTCCTGAGGCTTCTAAGGCCCGCATGCCCCTTACCCACCCTCCCAGCTCAGTGGTGTGTGTGGGAAAAGGGGGAATATTCCTCTGATGTCTTCTTAAAGCTAGAGGAAGGGGAAGGGGCAGAATTCTCAAAAGTTTTGGACAACAAAGAGCCCTCATGTGGAATTCCCTGATTCCCACAGATTTCTTTTGGTTCTAAGTGACAGAAACCCTACTCTGTGAGCAGAAAAAGGGATGTATTAGTTTAAAACTGAGAAGGTCAAGGGCAGATGTATCTTTAGGGGTTATTGAGCCTTGAGCCCAAATGATGTCACGAGAGCTCATTGCCTCTCTTTTCATATCTCTCTGGGTGGAGGGCAAGATTTGATGCCTCCTGAAAGATGGCTGAAACCCTGGAAGGGCTCTGATTGGCTGGGCTGAGGTAATGAGCATATCCTTGAGCCAATCCCTGTGTCCAGGGATGACAGCAAGGGCAGTTCCTCCAGATTCCCTCCCCTTAGGTCCCTCTCCTCCCCCAAGAAGCAGGGCCGTACTGCCAGGGGAGGGGCAGGAATGGGCCGGGCATGCAGAGTAGCCAGTGACCCCTGGTCTGCTTTCCTTTAACCCAGCACCACCTCCTCTCCCTGTCACTGGCTTCTAAACCTCTAAGCTCCTTGTGGAGAGGAAACGGCTGAGCATGGGGAACTGCCTGGAAGGTCAGGGCTCTGGCTGGTGCCCCAGATTCCCTGTTTTCTAGAAACTTCTTCCCACCTTCCCTCAGAGCAGGTCCTAGGGTTGTCTCTACAATGTGGGCTGAGGAGAAATCCCAAGCAGAGATTTCTCAAAGGGCTTCAACTCCAGAATGCTTTTCTTTGAGGGACATAGTCTATCTTATTTTTACCTTAGAAACGAGCCAATCATAACCAAAGGAGGACAAAGAGAGCCCTATATGAGCGGGTGAATCTCCTGCTGCTCTTGAGGCCTTTTCTTTAGACTTATTTTTTAACTGCAAACGAGCTCCAAGGCCAAGCAAGGCGTGAAGAACCCTACTGAGGATGGTGATGACAGCTCTGTGGATGTTTCTCTCAGACATGCTAAAAGAAAAAGCCACATTTTTCATCAGTTGATTCCATATTTAGTGGGGAAATAGGAAGATTTCTCAAGGATCTGAGGTGGTGGAGAAATGTCTCTGTGTCGTGGTGTCTCTGTGCTATGGTTGCTCTACCTGTGGTTCTGGGTCAAGTGTGAGGAAGGAGCTGGATCTCAAAGTCAGGAAATCTGGCTCCCATGCCGGCCCTCTCAGGACCTTCTGCTTGACCTTGGCTCCTGTCACCGGGCCTCACTCACACCACCTGTAAAGTGAGGGGTTGGACAAGATGACACCTAAGATCTCTCTTAGCTCTGAATTTCTGTGATTCTAGGTCAGGTGGAGAAGACCAATCAGGATTCTGGTTCTGTTCTTGCCTGTGCCATGACTCACTAGGTAACCTTAGGTAAGTTCCTCCTCTTCCTCGTTGGACCTGTTTGCCACCCTTGAACATCCTGCATCCCATGGGAGGGCTGTATAAAAGGTAGCCAGGGTTCATCACTGAGGATCCTATGCATTAGGAAACTCCAGCCTGGGTCCAGCCTCCTAGTGAAGTCTGTGGGTCCAGTTCCCCACTTCTGGGCTCGCACCCAGTCACATGGCCTCGGGCCACCCCAGCCTGCTTTGGCCACCTAGGCCTTCCCTCTGTCTTCCAGGCCTGGCGACCAATATGAACACACCTCAATCAAAATGTTCAGTTCTACAAAAGCTTTGTTGAAGGCTGTTCTGAGCTAGTGAGAGGGCCTAGTGCTGGGTGGGACATCGGAGAAGCAGATGTGACTCCCATCTTCAGGGAGCTCATGGTCTGGGGTGGAGAGGAGGGGCCAGCATGAGCGTGTACCTAGTGTGGTGAGAGAGGGACAGTGGCCCAGAGGATTTCAATTTGGGGGAATCTGAGGGTGCTTGGATGGGACCTTGAAGGATGGGGTAGATTTGAGATAAAGCTGCAGGCTGAGGACCCAGCATGATGGAGAAAGTTCAGACAGTGTAGGGTCCAGGGGGAGAGGGCAGTGAGGCTGGGAAGAAGCATGGGGCCACATGGCCTGGAGGGGGAGTCAGGGCTGGGGAGGCAGTGAGGCTTCTAGACTCATCAGGAACCTTTTGGTTGCAGTTGTTGGGAACTGAACTTGGAGTAACCTAGGAGAAAAGGGCGATTTATTGGGAGAACTGAGAATCTGAGGAAATTCTGAACATCCCAGCATGGGAAGGACCAGGGTGCTGCTGGCCTTCAAGAACAGGTAACCTGGTGCTTGGACACCATCAGGACTCACTTCTTGATCCTGTTTCTTTCTATGTTGGCTTCATTTTTCTCTCTCGTGGCTAAATTCTTCTACATGGGGAAGAGACTTAACTGGCCCAGCTCAGGTCAGGGTCCCATCCCTGGATCTATCGCCTCTGGCTAGAAGTTGGGTCACGTGGTAACGGGGCTGGTCTGTTACTGTCTGCAGAGGCAGGGGAAGGCAGTTTCTGAAGGAAGGGGCCATGCTGAGCAGGCACCCACAGGCCACCCACTGAATTTCCAAGCAGAGGAATGTGGCCTGATGGGACCTGCATTTTGGGCAGAGTAGGCATTAAAAGATGACAGTTTTTTTCCTTTTATTCATAAAAACAAATTTGCAACAATTTATTAAAAATTGATACCATGCAATAGGGGTACGAGAAATTCCTCATTTACATTTGATTCTGGCAGTTCCAGTCTAATTTAAAGCGTTTGTGCACTAACATCATTGGAAAATGCCTTCAGGCTGAAGCCTCTCCGGAAAAGTACAGTGTGTTTGCTGCATATAAAAGAACAGAACCATTAAATAGCTAGAGTCACTTCTGTGGGTCTTGTTATTTGTGGGGAAATTAAAAACAAAACAAAACAAAACAAAACGGGTGAACCTACAGTATCATTAAGACAGAGAATGTGCCTTGTGGGTTAACCTAGAAGACGGTGCATGTTCAGGAGTCACAACGGGTCACGGACGCACACACTCACCTCCGACTGTCCAATACTTTTGTTTTTTATTTCCCTGCTATGCTGGATTAATATTTCTACAGGTATTAGTTTTTGTGTGTGTATACATTATGTACAATGAATTGTCTCTTTCCTTTTGAAAAATTAATGTGGTTCTTTAAATTAAATCTGGTTTTGGTGAAATCAAGAAAGCAAGTAAATACTGGTAATACACAGTGAGTGACAACACCGATTTTTAGTGCCTAAATAGACAACAACTTCAACTTGACCTGTGATGTGTTAACATTTTTTTTTCCCTAAAAGCTACAGAACCTCTGTAACCTCTCTTTAGGGGAGGGGAGGGGAGAGCTATGCTATGTGAAATAAGGTGTTTTGAAATGTTGGCGATGGTAAGATTCCTGCGGGCCCGTTTGTCAAACCCTGGTGGTGACAGCACTATATTCCTGACTTTAGTGGTCTGGGAAGAGATTATTGCCTGCCTGTTGAAGCTGCCATTAGGTTTCCTTAGAGAGTGAGTGACTGCTCAGTTGTGCAGACGTCCTGGATGTTGTCATTCAGGTCTTTTTTTAGCTAAGACTGAACCTGTCTAAAAATGTCACAAGGTCATTGAGAGCCTCTCTCCAGCCTGGCTGATCCTGGTAGAGGGCTGCACGGGGAGCTTCTCTGGCCCATACCCCTGGCTGTCACGAGGGCTGAATGTCGTGGTCATCCTGATACCTCACGGGTCAGGGCTGCTTCACTGTTTGCTCTAAAGCTTTCCTGGATGAGATCAAGGTTTGATCCTCAGAGCCACCCCGTGAGGTAGGCAGGATGGGTATTATTTCAACCCCAGTTTGTTAGAGAGGGGAAACTGAGGCTCAGAGAGACACAAGTGACTTGCCCAAGGACATGGAGGGAGTCAGCAGTGGAGCGAGGGCTTGAACCCAGGTCTGACTCTCAGACCAGTACTCTTTGGAGTCTGTTTAAAAGAGAAGAGTGATCTTACGAATGAGAACCAGTGTGCTGACCAGTCACCCTCGGGACCCCCAAGGGCCAAGCTTGCTGGCTTGTCCACTTGAAGGTTGCCTTCCTGAAGTTAAGGGAAGCCCTCAGCTAGCAACTCTCTCCCCATGACTACAGGGATGTCTTCTAGCAGATGCTCCCGATTCACTTTGGTCAGACATAAAGTCAGTGGGGAAAAAAAAACAAACCAACCCCAGCCAGCCCTTGGGCCCTGATGAGAGAGGTTAAAGTGCACAATCTTTCTTTATCATGTTTGCTGGGAACAGACATTCCATGATTAGCTCGGGTGATCCCCCTCACTACGGGAACACCTGATACAAACACGAGGGCATGGCCAACGTGGTGGGTGCATGACCAACTGTGGGTGAATGCTGCAGAGCATGTCTGCAGTGACGTGCCCTAAATCCCCATGGTCCCGGAACGGGTGTTATTGTGTTAATGTGTGGCATTTATCAGAGAGTAAGGTCCCACCGGGAGGCATGCGGGTCAGCCTGCTCCGGTACCCCAGCCCTCAGTACCCCAGCTCCTGGGCCGCCCGCTGCAGAGGTGTGCCGGCTGCCCTTCCTGCAGACTCCCTGTTCCAGGAAGGCTGGGGCTGGCTGGACTGGCTGCCTGCCCACCTCCTTCCCCAGAGGGGAGAAGGGCTGGCTGGGGGGCCACAGCCGGCGGTGTGTGTGCAGCGGCAGAGGCGGTTTCTCCAGAAGCCCCTTGCCTCTTTTCAAGGCTGCTCAGGGCCACTCAGTGACTTCTAGCTGGAGTTCTAGTGACTTTCTCCTGGTCTAGGATTTTTTTTTTTTTTGCAAAGTTTCAAATATCCTAGCTCCTCCTTTGCAGATGTTAAGGAAGAAGTCATTTCCATTCCTCTTCTTTGTGAAAGAATAAAAGCTTCACAAATAAGGCGCGAGGTCAGGTGCCAAGTGACCCCCATCCTGTGCACCGAGTGCCATCCGAGCAGTCCTGTGAGGCCAGCCGTGGCGCCAGCTTCTTCACAGTCAGAGCTGACAGTGTTCCCGTAAGCAGACGCCTCTGCTTCGTGTGGTTCCGTCATGGGGGAGGCCCCGGCCCCAGGCCTCCCAACCTTACAGGCCCGAGACCATAACTCGGAAGGAGGGCGGCACATGTCTGTGGCGGGGGCTGGCGGTGGGGCTGACGCAGGGGCTGACACAGCTGGCATCCACGCCTCCAATGGATGGGAGGTAGGCGTGGTGGAGGATGGGGAGCTGGAGGGACAGCCGGCGCTGGATGCTGTGGAGAGAGGAGGGGAGGAGTGTCAGTGAAGGCTGTCTGGCTGTTCACCGGAAGGTTCCCTGGGCTCACTTTGGCTAAGAAGCTGGTGGGAGGAGTAGAGCTCTCTCTGAACTCAGGATCTGTCCATCCTGTCATCTGACCACTCACCCATCCAGCAGGGGTTTAGTGCAGGCCTTCACATGCCAACTGGGAGTAACCGGGGTGACAGCAGTCAAGGAGGAGGCAGGCTTCTGGAGCTTCTGGTGACCAAGAATCCCAAAGAAGAAAGGCTTTTTTGCCCTTCTAATAGGGCCTTGCTGCAAACATGGACAGTTATCATTCCCTACTCTTGCAAGTCTCCAAAGGGACTTGGCTTTGAGTTCCATCCCTGAAAGCCTTCCCAGCTGCTCTGTCCTTCCTCATTGGCTCCTCTGCCCCTGCCTCTTGCCCAGGACCTCAACTCTTCTTGCTGGGCCAATTCCAACAGGTTCCTTCCTGGTCTTTTGGCTTTTTTGGGGTGACTAGTGTTCTCTCTCCAACACTGGGATAGGGCATTCAGGGATCCCCAAGATCTGTCTCTTGCCAAATTCCCGAGGTGAATCTTCTGCCCCTTCTCCCCACAAACCCTACGCTCTGGCGGCTAGTCTCCCCTCCAGCTCTGCTATGGCAGTCTCTGCACGCGCTATTTCCCCCGCCTGCGAAGTTCTTCCTCCACTTTCCCGCTTGGTGACCACTGCCCCTTTAAGATCCAGTTTAAACGTCCTCTTCTTTGGGCTAATCCCCCAGAGAGTGAGCCCCTTCCTCCTCTACACCTCCAGCAGCCTTGGTAAATTCCCAGAAACGCAGCCAGGAAAACCCAGAGGCAGGGCTGAGCCCGGGGCTGAGTATGCCGGACTGATGGAGGAGCGGAGTGAAAAGGGGGCCAGCTGTCCTTGCTCCCTGTCACTGCCACGCCCTTCCGCTTGCCTTCTCATCAGTTTTCACCACCAGCAGGTCAGTAGGTCAGTAAGTCACCTCAGCTGTTGTGAAGGCTGCTTTGGGGGATGTGCCCAGGCCACTGCTCCCCTGCACTGCTCAGCTGAGTTTTGTGCAGGTTCACTGCATCTGGGAAGTTGCATTGCCTGAACTCTGAGGCCTCCTTGTGTCCCCCATGCCTGGTCACTCAGGTGGGGAAAAATCCAGACATTCACAGAACCCAGGAGGCAGAAGAGGCACTGCTATTCCCATTGTAAAGATGAGGGCAGGGTAAACAGAACTTGCTCACAGAACCAGAACCAGAACTGGGGAAGGAGGGATTCTTGCTGCTTCTGTTGAATCACAGTGCTTTGTGGGGTAGCAGATCAACTTGGGGGGCTGCCTCTTCCCACCAGTGTGTGCCCAGGAGTGTATGTAGGGCATTGGTGGGGTTCTGAGGTGGACAAGGACAGATGCAGTGCTGCCCCCACTCCCTAGGGACCTGCTGGCCAGAAGGGCTTCTCCTGAGAGACTTCACAAGTGCCCATGAGAGATTAGTGTGAGACATTTTGAAATTAGAGTTGAACTTATGTAATGTCGTAGGTGTTGGCAAAGAGTCCAGGAAAAACGGGAGCTGAAGAATGGGCCTGACTTGGGCCAAGATGTCCTGTCTGAGCATCCCTGACAGGGCCATCTGCCCGGGCAGGGTGGGCCTCTGTATGTGGCTGTCAGAGCCACACATTCTGCTGTCTGCCGGGATCCTATTTGCCTTTTCACTAATTCGTTGCTGAAGACCTACTCAATGCTGTAACCTCTGTTCAGTCCAGGGGACGTATGAAGGGCTATGCCTTGCCCTCACGGTGCTTGCACTCTAGTGCAGGGAACTAATACGCAGACCACTGATGAATGCCATGTAACCATCAGTAATTGTACTGGACCATCAGCTGTGAGGCTCTGGAACTAACTGGGTTGAGATGCTATTGGCTCTTAAGACCAAAGGGCCCCAAATGACACTGCAGTTAGTGTCTGGGCTCCCTTTGCTGGCTCCTTACCTCTTGTCACTTCCCAGGGAACAAGTTTCAGAGTCAACATTTTAAATTACTGCTTCCAATCTGCTGTAAACTGGGAAGAACTAAAAATTGCCACTGGGGACCAAGCTACTGGAGATGTCCAGGTCTTTGCTTTGATGTCACCTTCTCTGACCACCCTATGTAAAATGATACTTCTTAAGCCCTTCCCTGCTTTATTTTTCTCCAGAGCACCTATCACTTAACATACAAAGGTTTGCTTTCTTATTAAGTTATTGTCTTGCCAGACAGAATGCAAACTCTGTGGAGGGATTTTATCTGTTTTTGTCACGGCTGTGCCTGGCACATACTAGGTCTCAGTAAATCGGTGTTAGGTGACTGTGGTTGTTTTATATACATCACAAAGGCAGAGAACATGGGATTTGATGTTGGACAGACCCAGTTCAAATCCTGTCTCCTACATTTAGCAACTGGTGAGCTTTGGCAGGTCACCTCCCCTCTCTGAGTATTAGTCTTCTCAGCTGTAAGATGAGCATTGTAATTTGACCTGCCTCATGGGATTACTGTGGAGTCCAAGTGAAATAATGCACGTGAAAACATGGTGCCAGTTGTAAACTCTTGGGCAGGAGGAACATTCTCTATGGCGATAATTCTCAAGGAGAAGGTACTTACTGTTCTGGGGAGTTTATATCTTCTATAGGATCTTTGCATGTTCGAGAGGGCTCTGTTGTGTTCCACTGTAGCTGCGGATTTTGATCGAGGTGATTTTTTAAAATGGCCTTTCCCCCATCTGAATGCAAAACAATATTGCAATAGATTCTGTTAACTTGATTTTGAAAAGTCAACAATGCAATCATTTTTTAGGATTGTGGCCCAAGGAGACAGAATGCAAAAGAGCCCATCGTCCCTCTGCACCCTCTCTGCTGTGGTCTCTGCAGCAGCTCTCTGGAGCTCGCTTTTTAAGAGTTGTACCGTGTGTCTTGTTTAGCTGCATCATAATTAATGAATCCACCTCGAGTGACGAACATGTAAGTTATTTCCAGCTTTTCTTGCCCACAGGTAGTGTTATGATAAATACTGTGTGTCTACACCTTTGCCCACGTGGGAGTATTTCCAAGGGGCAGCCTCCTGCTAGGGGGATTGCTAGTCAAGGGGCTTAACACCTGACATTTGGAGAGTGCCAGACCGACTTCCAGAACGTTGCAGGAGGATGCCCAGTTCCACACACTCTTACCGACACTGGGGATCTTTTTAAAAGCTTTCTGAAATGCAGGCAAAAAATGGACTGTTATTTCCCAAGTAGTTGGTGGAGTTGAGCAACATATCATCTTACTGACCACTCCTTTCCTGTACGTGCATGAGTACCTTTCCTGTACAACTTCCTCATCTGTAAAATGGAAGAGGGGAGGCTGGTGTCATACCCAGGGGCCCCCCTCCTCCTACCTGTGCTCTCGGTGAAGTTCCCCAGGTTGAGGATGTCGTTGAGCTCTTGGTAGTGGTTCTGTTTAATGTAAGTGGTCTTTTCTGGTGTGTCCTGCAGCTGCATGGTGACCTCTTCCAAGTCTTTATCCAGCTAGAAGACAAAGGCTCCGGCTGAGTCAGAGCCCCCGGCCCAGCCCCTGCCCTGGCCCTGGCTGCCAAGCCTCAGAGCCAGGAAGTGGTTCACAGGGTCACAGGGTCACAGGGCTGGGCCTCGGCTGGCCTCAGGAGGGCACTGAGAGACACATGGGCTGCTGCGTGTTGGGGAAGAGACACAGAAGGCCCGTGCCCACACTTGTTCCAGGAGAAGCTATGCTGAGAGAGGCCTGGGCTGTGCAGTGATGTGTTCAGTGCAGGTGTGAGCCTTGACAGAGCAGCTAAGCAGGCCTGGGGAGGCAGGGGGAGGGGGAGGGGAGTGGGGAGGCAGGGCGACAGAGCATCAGTGCACAGGCTCTGAGGTTGGACAGGCCTGGGGGCAAACTCAAGGCTGTGTATTGGCTGGTGAGAACTGAGTCTCAACTCCTTCATCTGTAGAATGGGGTAATAGCAGTATCTATCTCATGGGGATTAAGTGAGATAATGCAGTGAAAGTTTATTCCAATGCCTGCCACATAAGAAGGGTAACCTGCTACTGTAACAATACTACTATAATTACTATTATTGATACTAGCGGGATCCTCGGTGGGGAGGACACATCTGTAGGGCTGGTCAGCTCTGAGCCTCACACTGTCACAGAGACTCAGGCCAGTAGGAGCTCCTGCAAAGGGGTTAATCAGGATGGATCCCAGTTGCTTCCAAGTTACATAAAAATCAGATGCAAGCTCTGGGGCATTTCAGCCCCTGAGATGCCTGGGAAGTGGGTGTGGGTTGGGGAGAGTAGTGGGCATCCTGCTACAGATAAGGGAGAGGAAGTCATAAACTGCTATTCCGATGGCAAGAGCACAGCCATTAAACTGTTTAATTAGTTTTCATGTGGAGGAGGAGAGAAAGAAGTTTTTTCTGTGTGATTCAGACAGCAGGGCTAGAATCAAAGAGTAGAGGCAACAGGAGGCCAGACTGTGATTCAGTCCCAGGAAAACCCCAAATTTTTAGGGTTTTTGCCCATGGCTGGCATTTCAGGTTTCCTAAAGTGAGTGAACTTCTCATCGCTGGAGGGTGCAAGTGGAGTTCGAATGTCAAGGCCCAGGGATGTGTGGTATCACTAGTCCCTGAGAGGCCTGATATGACAGCAGAATCAGCAGTGGGCTTTGGGGGACAGAAACCTTTCCTGCTTTGATCCCGTGGCACATGGAGGGCTGTCCCGTGCTACAGCTGTCCGCTTTAGAGGCACGGACAGCTGTGCTGCGGATCTTTGGGGCAGAGTATAGTGAGTCCCCCAAAACGTTGCCAGATTGAACAAATAAAAATTCAGAATGCCCAGTCACCTTTGAATTTCAGATAATAAGAATCAGAATTTCAGATAATAAGGAATAAAAAATTTTAAGTATAAATATATCCCAAATATTATATAGGACATATTTACACTAAAAATATGATTGGTTGGTTGTCAGAAAATCAAATTTAACTGGACATCCTGTACTTAATCTGGCAATCCCACATCTCATTTCTTTCTTGGGCCTGTCTGGCTAGAGACTACATTTCCCAGCCCTCCAGTATGATCACATACGTTCTTGCCAGTGTAACTGGAGCAGAACCAAAATGTATGCAACTTGCGCATCACTTGCTTAAAAGGCGATCCCTTGCATGGACTTCCTTTCTCTTTCCTTTCAGGGACTGGGAACAGGACATGCTGTCCACGCAGCTTTAAGTGTTCTAGTGAGGAAGACACCTTGGGGACTGGCAGAAAATTAAGAGTAAAAGAGCCTCAGTCAGCAGTGACCTTGGGCAGAACTGCCTGCCAACCTGGACCTCTCTCCCCAGGACTGTCAGGTGAGAGAAATAAACATGTATCTTCTTTGGGCCACTCTATTTTGGGGCCTCTATTATAACAACTTAGCCAGTACCCTAACAGCTCACTTTTCTTTGTTCCTTTCCTGTCCCACTCATCAATCAGAGTTCCTCCCTTAAAGACATAACCCAAGGATCATGGGCATGGTCACACCTGAGACCTAAAGGGAGGGCTGGAGAAGGGGAAGGTGATTCGGTTTCTCCTCCCTAGTGTAGAAAGTCCAGATTTGAGGTTTGGCTTGGGCACCAAGGAATCCAGTTATGGCCTCTCTAGACTATTCAAGGACCAGTTAAGGACTTTCAGGACAAAAGTGAGGTCTGTTGCAGCAAAGTCTCCCTCCTGAGAAGTTCCTCCTCACTTCCTCCTCTCTTGCTTTGCATCACACAGATGTGAGTGGTTACGGGTTGTGTTGGGAGAGTGAAAAATGGAGGCGGGGATATACTTAGGAAGCTGCTTATGAGACAGTAATACATACTGGCCTCTGCCCTGGGTTTCTGACACAGGGCTCCTGAAACCCTTGTAATTTCCTGGGTGTTGGGGTATCTTTTGTTCTAACTGGGCAACTGTGGGTGGGCTCCTGGATGAGGGCTGGTCACCAGAAAGAATGAGCCATGATTAGAAACCAGGAATTTTCAGCCTTGTCCCCCATCCTCTTGAGGAGGGAGAAGGGCTGAAAACAGAGTTAATGATCAATCATGATGGGTAACAGAGCCTCCATAAAACCCCAACATATGGGGTCTGGAAAGCTTCTGGGTTGGCGAACACATCCCCACTGGGAGGGTGACGTACCCCAGCCCCACAAGACACAAGCTTCTGTGCTCAAGAGCCCCTGGCCTCTCCCACTGTATCCCCTCCTGGCTTGTTCATCTGTATCCTTTATCATATCCTCTAATAAACTGGTAAATGTAAGTAAGTGTTCCCGTGAGTTCTGGGAGCTGCTCTAGCAAATTAATTGAACCTGAGGAGGGGGTCATGGAAACGTCTGGTTTGTGGCCAAGTTGGACAGAACTGTGGGTAACCAGGGGGCCCACTACTTGTGACTGGCATCTGAAGTAGGGTGGGGGTGGTCTGTGGGATAGGCTTAGGAGCCTTTAACCTCTGGGGTCTGACACTATGTCTAGGCAGATGGTGTTAGAATGAGTTAAATTGTAGGACACCCAGATGGTGTTGAAGAGAACTGCTTGGTTCGGGAACTCCCTCCCCCTCCCCCTTGACACACACACACACACATTTGGTGACCAGAAGTGTCAGAAGTGAAGAGTTCTGTGTGAGTGGTAAAGGAGACAGACAGGAGGTAGAAAACTAAGTTTTCCCAAATCAGTGCTATAATCTGGGGGCTCACAAATCTCTAAGAACTTTCTTTCTGAAGATGCTTGAATCGAGGCATTGCTGGAACCCAAGAGCCTTGGCCAGATGGACAATAAACTTCTATGAGATTCCGACAAACCGCCTCTGTCTAGTTTATGTTCCCGTGGTTCTTAACAGCATAATGACAACAGATGGGACTGCACAGCCATGATGTGTGGGTGTCCTAGGGGAGCCGAGGTGGGGAGCGGCAGCTCGGAGGCCCTGCACGGGGCCGGGGGCTCCCGTGGAGGATGGGGCCCTGGTGACCAGCGCTGTGGGAGGTACCTCTGTGATCTTCATTCGCAGGCGGTGGTTTTCTGACTGCAGGCCCTCTAGGCGGGATGTGCTTGCTTGGTTCACGCTGGTGACTGAGGTGGAGGTTTTAGAATCTTCTTTCTTCTGATTCTGAGTGAACTGAAATCGTCTGTTCTGAGTTGCTGCGTCTGGGTTTGTTCTCAGAGTGATGAGCTGAAAGGACAAAAGTGGAGCTGAGAAGAGAACGCTGGGGTCTTTCCTCTCGGGCCCCATCCAGTCCCTCCCAGCAGGGCCTGCACTGGAGGCAACATGGGGCCCCAGGAAGGACACAGTCTGAGAGTCTGGAGCCCTGGGCTCAGGCTTGTCTCTGGCCCTCGCTTGTGTGTGACCTCGCGCAGGCCTCTTCCTCTCTCTGAGTCTCGGTTTTCTTCCTTGCTGGTAGAAGTCTGGTCTCCTGACCCTGATTCCACCTGCATCCTTGCCATCCCGCTTATGCCCTGCTCCAGCTGAGCCTCACTCTGCCTCAGGCCTTGCTCCACGTAGAAAATAAACCTGAAGGTGACAGCTGTGAAGACAGACAGTGGGAGGAGAGTGAAGGCTTGTGCTTGTTAGAACCATGGCCACGGCCCCTGTCCACTAGGACTTCTGGTTCAGAGGTGAGAGGCAGGGATGGAGGAAGGACTCAGATCATCACCAGGCCAGGCATTCAGGGCACAGTGCTCAGCATGGTGCTGTGGGCCTGAGCTAGGCTCTGGGGAGGGCGTGGAAGGATGGTGAGGGTAAGGGAATTCCAGGGGGAAGAAATGGCACATGCAGATGCAGGGGGGCTCAGGGCACTTATAGAGAAAGGCAGCTGGATGATGGACAGGGTTCTCTGGGGAGCCTAGAGGGATCCAGTGATCCTGAAAGCCAGCCCAGTATTGGGCAACTTGATCCTGGAGCCAGGAGGGCAATGAAGAGCTGTCGAGGGTGACAAAGCAGAGTGTCCTGATCAGAGCTGGGCTTAGGGTCAACCTGGCATCTTCACAGGGTGGAGAGAACATGTGAGTGCACACAGAGAAGTTGTGGGCTTGGCCTGGAGCCTGGGAAAGTGTCGACACCCTAAGGAAGGAGTACGTGCCAGAGGTGTTCTGGGGCACAGCTGAGCCTGACTGGGGACTGATCGCGTGCCCAGGGGAGAGGAGAGATCACTGGGGTCCTGTGGCTCCTCCATCCAAAATAACCACTGACCTGAGAGATGTTTTCCTGACATTATCCCACCCAGCAGTGGGCGGGTGAATTGGAGGCCTTGACCTCTTCAGTAGGCTGATCTGTGTAGAGAAAACCTAACCTCGGTGGGGCCCAAGAATAAAGGAAGAAGCAGAAGACAGAGTTAAGAAGTTATTGACTCAAGCTGGGTAGGATAATGTCTGGAAGATATCACTCAGGTAAGCCCTGCAGATGAATGAAAACGTAAGTGGCTGTTAAAAATGGTTATTCCTTTTCACCCAGTAGTGCTACTTCTGTGACTCAAGCTTAAGGGAATGACTGGAAACAAGGAAAGTGTATTATGTAGGAAAAATAAAAGTACACTTATAAGAAATCTGGAAATACTGTAATGCTCAACCATAAGGGATCAAGAAGACAAGTAGGTTACAGAACTTCCCCTCAATGATGGTTATGAATGTGGGAAAATACAAGGGGCAAAAGCTAAGTGAAAAAGGCAGCTACAAAGCATGCTATAATTACAGCTGTGTCTGACTCACAGACGTAGAATACAAACTTGTGGTTGCCAAGGGGGCGCGGGGTTGGAAGGGACAGACTGGGATTTTAAAAAGTAGAAAAGATAAACAAAATTATACTGTATAGCACAGGGAAATATATACAAGATCTTGTGGCAGCGAAAAAAAATGTGACAATGAATATATGTATGTTCATGTATAACTGAAAAATTGTGCTCTACACTGGAATTTGACACAACATTGTAAACTGACTATAACTCTATAAAAAATGTCAAAAAAATACAGCTATATCTGAAAAAGCATCACTGCCTAAGCACTAAAAAAAAGACTGGAAGGATACATCAAAAATATTAACAGTAAAAAACCAAACCAAAACATTAACAGTGGTTATTTTTGGGTGGGGGGACTATGTGAGAGTTCTGAAAAATCTGATTTTTGCTTTTCTGCATTTTCTAAACTTTGTGATGTGAACTGTGTTCATCAGTTAAAGAAAAAAGTGCGTAAGACTTTTAGAAAGTGGAGGAAACTCAGCAATCCCCTTGTGAGGCCAGACAGGATGGCAGGGTGGTGAGACTGGGGGCAGAGGACCGCCTGTACCTTGGGCACAAACACCAGGCAAAGGGTGATGGTGCTGCAGAAGATGATGACCAGGGCCACGATGCAGAACTGCACGTTGGGCTGGTCGCGGGTCAGGAAGGAGACAGCGGCCCCAATGATGCACATGATCCCCACGTTGTAGACGCTCATCCCAATGTACTTGCTGTCGTTGAGGGCGGGGATACTGACGTTGCGGGTCTCCCAAGCTAAGAAACAACCGAACAACTGCAGCGGTGACAAAAAGGGGAGAGAGATGGTCATTACCAAGCAGCTCCTGCTCTGAGAAGCTGCTGAACTGAGGGTTACTCTGGAGGTGGGGGTTGGGGAGGGAGGCTGGGGGCTTGCTGCTGTCTGGGTCTTCTGGATATCACCATCTGTCACCACTGTGGCCCCAGGTTGAGTCCTTCCGAGGAAATGCAGGCTGGGGTGTTTTCGCTGTCTGGTTCTCCTTCACCCCCACCACTAGTTCACGCACAGATGCACAGGAGGCGGCAGTGGGAAGGAATGTCAGACATGATCTCAACCACGTCGCCTTGCTCTACAGAGAACCCGAAGGCCCAGAGAGGAGGAAGGCGCTTGCCCAAGGCCACACAGCAATCTGGTGACAAAAGTGGACTATGTCCCTAGAAGTTCAGTCCAGTCTTTTTTCTGTTGAACCAGACAGAGCCCCTGTGTCTGGGACTTCTATTACCCCCCAGTGCACGCAGTCACACAGAATAGAGAGACTGCATTTCCTAGCCGTCCTTGAAGCTAGGTGTGATGTGACTAGGTTCTGGACAATGCCATGTAGGTGGAAGTGGTGTGTGCAAGTTCTAGCAAGTGTCTTTAGAGGAAAATGCTATTCTCCTTCCTCCACTCCAGCAGATGGAGTGGAATGTGATGGGTGGAGCTTGAGCAGCCATCTTAGACCATAAAGTCATCTTAGACCATGATGTGGAAGATGCGTGATGAAGATGAGGGAGGCAAGATGCAAGGGACTAAGATTCTAAGAGCCTCCACACAAGCTCTTTTGCTTACCTGAGAGGGAAATTAACTACATTTTTTTAAACTACTGTTTTTGT